AATAATGTAAACAGTTGAGGATATGTGGCTGCCGAGGTAATGCGTGCGACTGTATACGAGTGTACGCGAGCATAGTGAAAGGAATGGTGTCCTTCCAACAAGTGTATTATTCTGATAGAGGGTTCAGAATTATTACAGAGCTAATTATTCAGTAAGGTCAAGTGATCGAAATGCCTAGGTGGAGGCCGCTTTTGATCAGTAATATTATGGTATAATTAATATTACAGCTCAATCTTAACTAAACCCTTCGGGTCGAACCCAATCGAACAACCGATCCGAGACAACGAATTTATCCGAAGGATAAAATGAGTCGTCGGAGTTTTACGAATACAGACATCGGATATCGAGCCTATGGCGTCGAGATCGAGCCTCGCAAAATCACAAGCAACAAGGACGAGCATAGCCGTAGCATCACATTGGCCTAGCCATGTGAAGTGTTAGGCTAGGCTAGCTCATCTCAAGCCTAGGCGCACCATGTGTGTGCTAGGCACGCCATGTGTGCTAAGTGCACAAGGCAGCCCATCGCAGCATCATTCTTGCGTGTGTGCGTGACTTCGCATGGCACATCACCACCGCAGCATGCGTGCTTGGCTGCCTAGATGCCATCGTAGCCTTCGCATGGCATAGCATCACTATCGCAGCCCATCGCACAAGCACAACACCATCGCAGTGCTAGGCACTTGCGTGTGTGTATGCCTAGGGCTGTCGCACCACCGCAACACACATCACAGCCTATCGCATGGCTAGGCTTATGCATGTGTGCGTGTGCATGGATGGCATCGTAGCGTGCAGCGTGCTGGCAGCATCGCACAGCAGCGCCATGCCAGGCATCGCCTAGTGCGTGTGCGTGTGCGTGTGCGATGGCTAGGCAGCAGCAGCACTAGCAACGCTCAGCGCCTAGCAGCCCAGCAGCACGCAACTCGCATGTTGCTGGCTGGGGATGTGCGTGCTAGCTAGGCCAGCTAGTGCGTGCTGACATGGTAGCTAGCTTCCAGCCCAGCAGCCCTTGGTGATGCCGGTTTGTGAGAGGTGGGGACCAATGCTTGGAGCATGCCTTAGGGAGAAAGGCAATGGTCCCCCCCCCCCATGGTCATGGTCCTCACCTAACTCTCTCTCTCCCCTTGACACTTGTTGCTTGGTGATTGCTTTGATTAATTATATAATTTAGAATTAAATAAATTATCACATTTTCTCATTCTCCCACATTGGTTGGAGAATGAAATCCAAGGGTTCATTTCCCTATAAATACCAAGGCTTTGGCATTTGGGAAAGAATACACTTGAGTGGAACTATAAAGGCATCTCCATTGTTGAGAATACCTTAAGTTCTTAAAACTCCAAATTTTATATTTTATCCGGGTCCTGACTAACCTTTGGGGCTTAGGACGATCGGGTCGGGTTCGAGGGTACGAACCGTCGGAGGCCTTGCATTTGCAAGGTTGAAGTAAGAGCTCTATTGGCGAGTGAAGCACGCGTCTAGGGTATAATTCTTTATCCCTTTTTCTTTTAATTATGTATTAATTATGTTTTGCATGCTTTAATTGCTTTAGTTATCGGGGCAGGTCTTGGGGGGTTTTTTTCCGCGTAGTGAGGGTCACTAGAAAACCCTACAGCGGTATCGGAGCCGCGCTCCTTTTAATTATTGAAATTATTTATTAATTAAGGTGTTTTAAAGTGGATTTAAATTCTGGTTTTGCTTTTCTAATTGGATTAGAAGTTCGTTTTAATTCATTTTAAAACTCGTATTTTTCTTGTTTTGGTTGTTGAACCCAGATTTTGGCTCAAAAATAGTGTTTTTTGGGTGGAGTCGACATTTTGAATCAGTTTCAAACTCTTTGAGGGATGTCCAGCAGCTTAATTTCGAACCAGAAACCCATTTTTTTGAGGGTTTTTTCGTTTTCAACGAAAATTTTAAATCTTTTATGCCTTGATTAATGCAAGCATGTCAAGGGTAGATTAAATGCATTATTGCATCCCTAATCTACTGCAATTTAAATATCTTTTAAGCATGATTATGGAGTTATAATATGTGCTTAAGTTGATATGTTCTTTTTCATATAAACTTGTTTTTCACAATTATGCAAAATAAATTGCATTAATGTGTGAATACTTGTTGTGAATATGTAATTTTAAGTTCCTAGTATGTTAAAGATCTAATCTTTAAATGTTTAAATGATCGGAACTTTAACCCTAAATTCCCTGTTGAACTCATTTTGGATTTTTCATATTTGGTTGATTAAAATCCTTGAAGTTCAAATGCTTGTGAGTAAATGTTGATTAATCTTCATATTGGAATATGTAATCTGGTTATTTTACATAAGTATAAAAAAATTGGAAAATTTTATCATAGGATGATTAATCTATTTTTTCAAACTCCCTATTTGTCAAATCCATTATTAATTTACATATTGGTTAAATTAATTATGGACATAGCTCCTTCAATTTTAAGCATTAAGAAAGACCTAAAAATGTTCCAAAGTAATTTTGAAAAATTAGGCTTGTGCACCGTTAAAATTGAATTTAATTGAGTTGGACTTATTTTATTTTCATTTTTCCTCAAATTGATTCTAAAATAAATTTGGAATTAATTTTGTGTCACACACAAATCGAGATTAAAATCCCGAGAAAAATGCACGCAAATCGATGCAAAAACACCAAGCTTCACCAAGGCTAGTCGGGCTGCCCAGCAGCCCGCATGTGGCTGCCTATGGTGCGCGCAGGACCTATGCCATGATGCTGCGTTGCTGTGTGGCGAGTAGGCTATTGCGTGCTGTTGCATGATGTTGGGGAGCTTGTGCTGCTGCTGGGCAGCGAAGCAGCAAGCCCCAGCCAGGCAGGCCCACTGCTGCCTGCGCCAGCAAGCAGCTAGCATGCGTAGCGTGCTGCTGGTGCTAGCTAGCAGAGCAGGCTACGCTAGGCGTGCTTGCTAGCAGCCAGTACCACACGCACATGCCATGGGCTGCCTAGCAGCCATGGTGCGCAACCCACTAGGAATTGTGTGGGCTGTTTTTGCTTAATTTCGAGCTATGTATTTTGCGAAAATTTTGCCGTTTTAAATTATTTATGTAATTATTTTAACGAGGTTAGACCTCGATTTTTCCGGCTTTTGCAAATTTTTTTGATTTTGCCAAATATGGGTTAACCGGCTTAATTAATTGGATTAATTAAGTTGGATGTGGAATTTAGTGGGAGCTTAGCTAATTACGCGAACAAATTGCACCTTAGTAATACTAATTTGTTAAATAACTTTGACTAGTTTTAATTAGGCGCTTTAATTGGATTAACCACCTAAGTTAGTTACTAGTTTTGCGTGTTTACTTGTTTAATCTCGTAAAATGCATGGGCCATTCACAAATAGTGAATGGGTGAATGAAAGATTGTTTCAAAACAGGTTTGGAGAAAAATGGCAACTAGCGGGACCCGACTAGGATAGAAAATACGGACTGCGTTTCGTTATGTATTTTTGTAAAATCTAAATACGGTCTGCGAACCGTTAAGTATTTTTGTACTTTAGATTAATCTTAGTCATAATAGCTAGTATTTTTATTTTGGCAAAGATGTCTCAAGACGGCGTTTCGATGAAGACGAGCCAAGATGAAGGCCCTTGAAGATTTGAAGATTTCAAGGGGTCATGCTAGTTGCCAAATGCATCAATTTATGCCTTATATATATTGTTGTTATATATATTTTTTGAATGTTAGATGCATGTCTAGGATTTCAAATGTTGCGATGATTAGTTAAGTTCACTTAAATCAACCAACATAGAAACCCTAGGTCCCTTAAAATATTGAACTAAAATTTACCGTTCCAAGAACAACACTTACCGAACTAATGCGCGTATGTGATGGGCTTCGCCAAAGCGAGGCATCACTATTTCCCTAGGAACGTAAGGTATACTAAGTATACAAGTTGTCTTGGTTAAGCTCAGCGATATCAGTAAGGACTCCTTAGATGTCGTGGCAAAAGAGATAAAATGTCAAGAATGCATTAGATGCGACGTTTTATCAAACCGAGAGCTTAGAGCTATTAGAAATTGGATTGCTTACCCTAAAATATCTAGTGTTAAGACAAGCCAAAGCATGCTTAATCACTTTTTGATTTTTGGGATCTCTGAATCATTTTATTCTCGCCTAAAAGGGACAATTTATTAATGCGTGGATAAGATGCTCAATAAGATTGAAAATTTGCATGAACGCTTTTAAATTTCAAACTTATTGATTATATGAATGGTTTTTCATTTCAAATTCTTTCAATTGTAGAACAATGTCAGCAAGTAACTCAATCAACAACAATTCTATGTGCCCGGAACTCCCCAACAAGTTGGCATTTTGCCTAAACTTGGTAAACTTCAAGGAGTGGGAGGAGGAACTCAGGAGAAATCTTCGGAATTGTTCCTTGGAGTACACTCTTGACATTCCCATTCCAAGTTTCACTACAACAAAATAAAGCAAAGATAACAATGAAAAACCATTGCCTAATATGAAAAAAGTGTTGCCTTGTAGCTAAGGCAACACATAGAGGCATAGTTTATGCCCCCGTTGTCTATTCATAAGGCAACACATTTTAGTTCAAAGGCAACAATTTTAAAAGCCAGGGTATAATGATACCTAACGCAACACTTTTACAAGGGCAACAAATGAAAATTGTTGCCACCTTAGGAGACAATTTGAAATTGTAACCTTATGCCATAATGTGCAACAACCTTTCAGTCGATGTATCAGCTAGTAACAATACAAAAGTGTTTCCAAATATCTTAAGGCAACACCATTAAAGCGATTAAATATAAAATTTTAAATCAAATGAGCAAAGATGAAGCAGAACATCAATATATAAGAAATTTGATTTTATAACAAAATTCATGTGAACTCATTAATTAGAATCCAAAAAACAATATCCAATAAAATTTTACTACACAATACTCATAAAAATCCTAAATAACTTGTAATTCATGATCTAAGCTAGTAAATTTCTAATAATACTAAATGTATACTTGTTTATATCTAATTCTGTACATCGGGGAAGGAATGTAACCCTTAAAGAGGGAAATGGGTCAAATTACTATAAACAATCTAAAATGCTAATAGATCAACTCTTCGTTTTTGTCTTTAACATATATCTTCTTCCATGTACTTGTACGCCCTGTATTACTAATCAAATAACAAAGTTAGAATAATAATTTTTCAAAAACTAAGAAAAATAATTGAATTTATAACCAAAAATATAGAATTAAAACATTTTACTAATATGGCAAGCAAAACATACAAAAATCAAAATTCATAAAGCAATTTTTACATTCATCCAAGACCAAGGGAAGGAAGTAGACAAACACCAGTTAGTAATGTAATACATCAGATATTCACCATGCATAATTAGGAAAATAAAGAGTAAATAATACTTCCTCCCATTCTATTTCCTCTCCGGAATCCTTTTGTGAGACAAAAAAAAGTCAATAGTGGAAAGAACAACAAAAAAAGATCGGAGGGATAGTGAGACAAAATACATAATGAAACAATAGAAAAAATAGAAATCATTTGTCATATGATTAAATATAGCCAAATAACTAATCTTATAACTTACCTTATTAAAAATGTAGTAAAAAGATAAAACTTCCAACTAAGTTTACTGGACATGAGAGGCAAAGTAGAGTGTAGAAATTGGCTTGTAGAAAATAATCCATGTACACTATGATCTTTAAGACACTTTAACAGCCTAAGATAAACCTTGGTAAGGAAGACATGGAAATCAAAGATTACACTACGATTACCCTATGAAATACGATCAATTTATTGTCTAGAGTGCATTGTTAAACGTTAGAAATAGATACCCTTTAGCACTTAAAAGTGCAACCTTTTAAAAATGGTAGTGATGTGCAACCTTACAGGTATATTAATACATTCTTGATACAAAGAAGTAAGATAGTTGTATGACTCGTATCCATAATTATCAAGGAAATCATTCTTGTTGGTAGCTCGAAAGACAACAAGATTTGGGTCGTTGCTCTTAATTATTAGATAGAGCGAGTTATTTTGTTGATCCTAATTAATCTACCCACCTTTACTTACCTTAAGTCCATCATCACAGCCAGTCACAAACTCACAACAGCTATAGCTACAAGAACCATCAAACGGCAGAACACACACACACAACCCTAAAAAAAAAGGAAAGAAATCAAAACAACGAAAACAAAGTAACTCATTAGCTATATTTATATATAAATCACTAATTAAATTATCACATTCCATCCACTCTCTATAAATATCCATTCTAAAGATTTATAGCTACAAGATCAACAACCAGAAGATTTTTAACTAGGCGTGCTTGGATTGAGGAAAATGTATTAATAGGGTATTAAAAGTCAAACTATGCATAATGAAAGTAAATAGAGAAGAAGGAGATAGTGATGGTAAGCTTGTAAGAATCATTATGTAGTGATCGTGAGATATGAGGGGAAGAAAGAGGCTCATTTTAGGGGTAATAGTTACACTAGGGGGAGGGTGTGTAACTATTACCCTCATTATGAGGGTAATAGTTCCTCCATCTCTCTCTTTTCCTCATGCAACAACTACCTTATGTCATTTGTAAACATCATACCTCCTATAACAACACTTCTAATTACTTATGTTTTTTCATGTTTGACTTTTATTACCACCTTAATATATTACCCCCAATCCAAGCATGCCTAAGGAATGATATTTAGTTCAATTTTATAAGCAGACAACTTAAAATAAACGTAGCAATAAAAAAATGTTCACATCTTAGGCTATACATCGGTGATCTGACTCTTTAGAAGACTCTTTGGCATTAGATTACTACCATTGCTAAGGCTACTAACTTCAATCTTTAATAGACACACTCATTTATTTTTGTCGATTGACTTTCATATTCAAAATAAATCATGATTAGTTGTAGTGAAACAAGTTTAGTTTGAATTTCAATCTTATAAAGGTGTATTTAGCTACTTTTATAACTCACTTTGTTTTTTACACTGACATCAATCATTGAGATGAAAGAATGTTATTTCTAAAAATTTAAAGGGTCTTTGAAATCACTTTTCTTATTAAAATAGACTATGGCTTAATCTTTTAACCTTTAAAAACTTTCAAAAACTTATATTAAGTTCAGATAATTTGAGGTTGCAATCAATATTATTCCCTGCACATTACTCCCCTCCATGCCCCTTCCCTGTACATTGTACGTTCCTCGCCCTTCTCCCTTACCTACACCACTGCACCCTGCACACTGTTCCTCACCCATCTCCCTTACCTACACCACTGCACCCCTCCATGCCCCTTTCCCTGCACAGTACAATTTCAAATTGGAATTTCATATAACAATTCTAAAGCACAACCAAGTAATCGGCCAATACTCAAAGTGTAAGAGCTTAATTTCAATATAGCATTTGAATTATATCTAAAGTCCAACAATAAGTAAAATGCGGCAATAAGATTATCATCCTTAAGCAGGATGTTTTGTGAGTTTATGACACATGCTCTTTCTGACACAATCACAGCAAAACCCAGTGCCTTGAACAACACTAGTAAAGCTGCATATGATTATACTCCATCATTAAAATCATGAGTATCAAAACTATAATTTCATATTTGAATTCGCGATTGCAAGCAAATTAAACCATCACTTCATATCACAATTTCACACTAAAATTTCAAATTACAAATTGAAAAAGAGCAATCAAATTCATGAATATAAACTATAAAAATAGGGCAATCGCAATTACACGAATTTACATCCCAAATTGTAAAAAAAAAAAAAAAAAAAGAAAAAAAAAGCAAAACCGAGCAGTCATTGGGTTTTTCTTTCACGAATTTAAACAATCGCAATTTCATACTATAATTTCTATCAAGATTATATTAAGAAATTGGGCAAGATATCAAAACTATCAAACAATTCGCAAAGAGCAATTAAATTCGTGAAAAGAAACTTAATTAATATCAACTTACCGATATAGAGTAAAAAAATTTCAGGCGATCGACAAAATCACGAAGAGCCACTGCTTGGTGGTAACCGTGGAGTTGAACCGCCGACCTCCGTTAAGTGGTGAGTAGAGAGAGAAGATATCTCGTTTCTGGCTTTCTTCAATGAGAATTAGGAGAGAGAAGAGAAAGAAGTTAGGGTTTGACGTTTGATCTATCTAATTGGGATTTTGCAGATTTAGAGATAAGTTAATAAGAAAAAAAAAAAGGTGCGCTGGGTTTCGAACCCAGTACATTTGATTATAAAAACAAGGCATTTACTGCTCAATGTGTATAATAATTATTAATTAAGCATTTTTTTTATTTAATCTTTATTTTTTTTTAAAAAAAAAAAACCTACCCGAATTTTATCGGATCTCACCAAACTCATACTAGATCCGCTTGAAGAACTTAGCCTAACACGCCCTAGGTTTAAGATTTTAGTCTCTCCCAATTCTTTATAGGTCGTACCTCCTAAAACTTAGTGGGAAAATGAATTTAGCGGAAATTACTTTTCAAAACTGCGCTAAATAATACCTCATGAAATATATTTTTAAATTCAAATCGGTTTGAAAAATCACCTACCTAGGTAGTGACTTTTTTGTGATTAGCCTATAATCTTAAAATATTAAACTCAAAGTTTCATATTCTAATCTAAATTTTATTGGGATTTGTGAATTTTTAGATATTTTTTTTTTTGGGGTTGTGCTAATATTTTGGTGTTTAATTATACCTATACAGAATTTTAATGTGGCACAAGTGTTTGAATGCAACAAGGGATAAGATACTCGTGGCACAAGTGTTTGTTTGTCACAAAATAGATTTATCCATGGCACAAGTGACAATTTGCCACAAGAACAAATTACTCTTGGCATAAATGTTTGTTAGCCACGGGAAAATTATTCAGCCGTGACACAAGTTTCAATTAGCCGCACATTTTCATTTTCTCGTGGCATAATATTTTGTTGTCACTTAAGTTTACTGGTTAAATTTATTTTCCCGTGGCAATATCAAATTATGTTACGAAAATTGAATTCCCATGGAATAATTCGTGGCACAAGTGGTGAAATGTTGTAGTGTACATTCTTAGGCGACAATTGTATTGTCGTTATCTTTTCCAGCAACATTTTCTAAACTTGTTGCCTTAGGTAAAAGAAAAGTAACATTATAGGTGATTGTTGTCTTTACTGGTCTATAACAACACTTTTTTAATTGTTGCACATGGATCTAGTAGTATTATTCTGGTTCATAGTAACATTTAATATTCGTTGCCTTAGGTTATCAAGGGCAATGGTCTTTTTAGTGTTGCAATTTTAGATGTTGCCTTTTCTCATTATTTTTGTAGTGTTCTTCTCTAAGGGGATCATGACCGATGAGGCTCATGAAGAATGGTCTTCCAACTGCAAGAAAGTCTCACGACTTATGGCTAATTCCATCCCGGAAGATTAGAAGGAAAGCCTTTCCTCCTACCTTACCGACATGTTCCTCAAAGCACTTGAGGACGTTGTCAATGTAAGAGTCACCAAGAGTGACAATGGAAATTATGATGGACTCGTATTTGATTTGACTAGGTCAATCTATAACATGATGATAAAGCCACCGAATGTGGGTTGTCTTGCTAAGGAAAGGCGTCGGCTTTGGACAAAGGTCTACAATGCCAATTTGAGACCCGGCATGCCCCTCCGACCTCATGTGCTTGGAATGACTAGGCTCTTAAAAAACATGCAGCTTCTCGGAATCTCATTGGAGGATGAGATGGCGGGGCATATCTTACTTGCTTCGCTCCACTCGGGCTATGATGCACTTAGAGTGCATATAGCTGCGGGAAAGGAGACATGCTCCTTAATGGAGGTGGTGCAACTACTTAGCCGAGCCACCGCCTGTGGAGTGACCGAGAGGCCCTTGAGAGCAAGGAGAAGGGAGTTCAAGAAGGTCAAGGAAAAGATGCGTTGCTTCTATTTTGGTGGGCAAGGCCACTACAAGAGAGAATGCAAGTTCTTGCGGGAGGAGGAAGAGAGGAATGTAGCATCTTCCTTAAACACTTGTGAATTAAGCTTATCATAGGTATTAGATACCAAGTATGACTCACTTTATGTTGCATTTTCAGGGACCAAGTGAGAAGCTTATCAAGTGTTGGTGCAAGGACAAGTAGACGAAGAAGATGGTTTTTCGGTTGTGCTTGCATGCACTATTTTATCTATGACATGTAATTAAACTAATCTTAGTTTTCATCATGCCTTTTGAACATACTATTTATCTATGGTGTTGGACACCTAGTCATTTTGAATGTAAGACTTTGACAATAGTTGTTTCAAAATTGTCTTGCAAATATATGTTCAATGAAAATTGCATGATTTTGACATATGATTAGACAAGAGTTGATACTGCTAACTAAGACATCTAAGAATTCACTTTCATTGACAACTACCTAATGTCGAATAAATCTGAACCTTTTGAGAAATTCAAAGGATTTCAGAAAGAAGTTGAGAATCAACTTGGCAAGAAAATAAAAGCACTTCAATCGGATCGAGGTGGCGAATATTTGAGCCATGAATTCGACGATCACTTGAATGAAAAAGGTATTCTTTCAGAGTTGACACCTCCTGGAACTCCTCAATGGAACGGAGTATCCAAACGGAGGAATCAAACCTTATTACACATGGTTCGATCAATGATGGGTCTTAGTGAACTTCCTATCTCTTTCTAGGGACATGCGCTACAAACCGCGGCACTAACACTGAACCGAGCTCCGTGAAAAGCTGTTGAAAAGACTCCATATGAATTATGGACTAAGAAACTTCCTAGGTTGTCTTGTCTCAAGATTTGGGGATGCGAAGCATACGCTAAACGATTAATTTCGGACAAACTTCACCCCAAATCAGACAAGTGTTTCTTTGTGGATACCCAAAAGAAACCAAAGGGTATTACTTCTACAATAAATCCGAGAACAAAGTGTTTGTTGCTCGTGATGGTGTCTTTTTGGAGAAGGAACACCTTTCCAAAATGACAAGTGGGAGGAAAATCGAACTCGACGAAGTTCGAGAGGATGAGCAACAATGTCAACCTGATAAAAGTGACAATCTATGTTCTTTGGAAGCAGCTGAGAAGATTGGTCAGAATCAAACAGACAATGTAAATGCTCAACCCATTACCCTTAGGTCGCAACGCCCAAGATCTCACCTAGACAGATACCTTGGTATTATCTTAACCGATGATCAGTACATCCTAGTTATGGATGGAGATGAGCCAGCGACATACAAACAAGCTATGAAGCCATGAAATCCGAGATGGGCTCCATGTCTGAAAATCAAGTCTGGGACTTGGTGAATTTGCCCGAGGGTTACACACCCAATGGTTGCAAATGGATCTTCAAACTGAAGACAGACAAAGATGAAAATGTATCAATATACAAAGCTAGACTGGTGGCAAAAGGTTATAGACAAATCCACGGGATTGACTTTGATGAAACTTTTTCACCAGTTGCAATGCTAAAATCTGTCCGGATTATCCTAGCGATTGCTGCATATTATGATTATGAAATATGGCATATGGATGTCAAAACCGCCTTCCTAAATGGGATTTTGGAATAAACTGTGTATATGACACAGCCAGAAGGTTTTGTTGATCCAAGCAATGCTGGAAAGGTATGCAAGCTTAAGAAATCCATTTATAGACTGAAGCAGGCAAGCAGAAGTTGGAATCTGCGATTTCATGAAGCCATCAACAAGTTTGGTTTTATCAAGAATTCAGATGAGTCTTGTATCTACAAGAAGACCAATAGGAGTGACATCGCATTCCTAGTCCTATATGTCGATGACATACTGCTCATTGGAAACAACACAAAATTACTAGAGTCCGTAGAGGGCTGGTTGGGAAAGTGCTTTTCAATGAAGGGCTTAGGAGAGGCATAGTACATATTGGGCATCAAGATCTATAGGGATAGATCTAAGAAAATGATTGGATTGAGCAAGAGTACTTACATTAATAAAGTACTAGCACGATTTAACATGGAGAATGCCAAAAGAGGGCATCTACCCATGTCCCATGGCGTAATTCTCAGCAAGAAACACTGTCCACAGACACCTGTTGAGCGAGAGAGAATGGATCATATTCCATATGCTTCACTAATTGGGTCGATCATGTATGCCATGATATGTACCAGGCCAGATGTATCGTATGCTTTAAGCGCTACGAGCCAATACCAATCAAACCCAGGAGAGGCGCATTGGACTGCGGCCAAGAATATCCTGAAGTACCTGAAAAGGAACAAGGATAAATTCCTGGTTTATGGTGGCGAGAAAGACTTGGTTGTTGAAGGTTACACCGACGCTAGCTTCAAGACTGACAGAGACGACTTCAAGTCATAGTAAGGGTACATATTTTGCCTAAATGAAGGAGCGTTTAGTTGGAAGAATACCAAGCAAATCACCACTGCAGATTCTACAACTGAAGCCGAATACTTGACAACTTCAGAAGCCGCTAAGGAGGCTGTTTGGATCACAAGTTCGTCGGTGAACTTGGTGTTGTACCGTCCATCAAGGGTCCGATAGATCTCTATTGTGACAACAATGGAGCTATCGCTCAGTCTAGAGAGCCAAGAGAGAACCAGAAGGTCAAACATGTTCAAAGGCGATTTCACATGATAAGGGAATGGAAATCCGAGGGTGAAATCAGAATTTGTAAGATCGAAACGGACCATAATGTGGCCTATCCTTTGACTAAACCTCTGCCTCAAGTAAAACACAACAAGCACATTGAGGCAATGGGAATCAAGCACATTGGAGCTTGCCTTTGAAATTCCCTGTACATGTGTTTTAATTAAACTGGTCGTTTTAATGTAAGACACTGTACTAAAACCATTCATTTATGGAGTAAAGAATTTTATGTTTTATATTCACTCCATTGCAATTTAATTGTGGTTTAAAATTAAATAATAATTCCATTCGATTTATGAAAATATTCAAAACAGGGTATCAAGACCATGTCTTGGATAAAAAAAACACCTGTTAAGTGAACATTAAATATTTAAATTGAAAATTATCCCTAATCAAGGTCATCTAACTGATGGACGATTGATGAACACCAAAGGTTAGTGTGTAGTATGATTTACAGCACCGTTTCTTGTGCTGCAAGGACATAGTAGTCATAAATCATTTGCACAGGTGCTAGTTTAGAACTGCACTGGATAGACCTATGAGAGTACTTTAAGAGATTCAAAATTGTCATAAGTACATTTCTCATTATAGCTATCGGAACTTATTTCCTCGACCATGAGTATTGTGAAGTTTTCTTGTTTGAGTACTATTCTTTTTTATGTTGCCTAACGTCTGCCGTAACTAGGGATCATAACGGGAACACTCGGGAGATTAGGTCCTCTTAGTAAGAGAAACTTATAGTACAAGACTAGGAATATCCCCCTATTAACAATAGGAAACATGTCTTTGTTGTTTACAAGGCCGCTCGAAGAGCGAGACTGTGAA